TCCATATCTCAGGGTCCTCAGTTTATTGGCATAATGATGTGGGCTGGACATTAGCCCTTGGCCAATCAACCCTATGGGGTGTTCCTGTACCAGCCCACAGGACGTTCTGGGTACTGAAGTGCCCAAAGTCGTTTGGACCAGGAACAGTTTGATTCACCAAGTCAGGGACAGAATTTCTGACACCAGCGCATCAGTCCGATCGCGACAGTACCAATCACTGTTCAGCTGTCGCAATCAGGCGCCATATAACCATTTTCTGCATTTCTCTGGGATTCTACAAATACAGTTTTACATGCAGATGTAGACTACAGTATGTCCAATCAGCAGGAAGTATTTTCATCTCTCTGCAACTAATATTTTAGCTTTTATGAGAGATGAAATATATTCCTTTGATCTGCCGATATAAAGTAGAGCTCCCAGACAGATTGGAGCCCTCTCCTGTTCTCCTGCTGCTTCCGAAGCGGAAAAGTCTGACGTGGTATACCCATACTCAGGAGACATAGCAGAATGTGTTTTGGGGTGTAATTCCATGTGTATACACATGACATGTATGAGAAACATCTCACTAAAGTGACAACTTTGTTTAAAAACATATGTATATTTTTGTCATTTTTCAAAAACTTTGGCACAAAATAAGATCTTCCAAAGACTCACATGCTTCTCAGCAAATACCTTGGGGTGTCTACTTTTCAAAAATAGGATCATTTGGGGAGTGTTTATACTGTCCTGGCATTTTAGGACTTCCAAAAATTTGATAGGTAGTCAGGAAACTCAATACATAATTAAAGCGAAACTAAAGGTTCTTTTTTTTTTTTTGTAAAATCACAAACATGTCTGTATTTACTTGCTGTGTGCAATGGATTTGCACAGAGCATACTGGATCCCCCTCTTCTCGGGTCCCCCACAGGCTCTCCTGGCTCCTCCTTTCTGTCAGGTGCCCCATAGCAACCTGCTTCTCTGTGTGTCCATTCACACACGGAGCCGCAGCTTGGCCCCACCCCCTGTCTCTCCTCATTGGTTGACTGGCTGTGATTAACAGCAGTGGGAGCCAATGGTTCCCGCTTGCGGTCTCAGCCAATGAGGATGCAGAGACCCGGGATAGCCGAGGCTGTCATGCACATCGCTGGATCTTGATGGGGCTTAGGTAAGTATTGAGGGGGCTGGGGGCACTGCTGTACACAGAAGGTTTTTTACCTTCAGCCTTTACAACCACTTTAATGCCCATTGAAAGGCTGAAGGTGCTCATTGTATTTTGGGCCTCTGTAAGTGGTTAGGCTGCCAAAAAGTCTCACACATGTGATATCCCCATACTCAAGAGAAGAAGCAGAATGTGCTTTTTTGGGTATAATTCCATGTGTACCCAGGGCATGTGCAAAAAGAAATCTCATTATAGTGCCGATTTTGTGTTAAAATAAAAAGATTTTTTTTTTGTACATTTTAAAAAAACGTGTTGAAAAAATAAAATCTTCCATGGACTCAACCTGCCTCTCAGCAAATACCTTGGGGTGTCTGAGTTCTCACTTTTAGAGCTGGCAGGGGACAAATGGAGAAGAGTTGTGTGCTGTGCTGTCAATTAACTGATCTTTTCAAAATCACATCTGCCAACAATTTTTGGACGTACCTTATCCAATTCTTCTCTGCACACGGCACAGTACTTCTGTTCACACAGCACTCTCATCTTGGTGGAACAGCGGTAGCAGATGGGATGGTCACATTTGCCCACAGCATATACATCCAGCTCTTGACAGCACAGCACACAACTCTTCTCTAGATCCAACATGTTCACCGACTTTGATGCCATGACTGTCTCAAGAGGAATAAAGAGGAAAGGTGGAGGAAGTGCATAGGCCCCTGGAGGACAGAGGGAGAAAACCCCATCCATCCATAACACCAACAGAAATCAGCAAGTCCAGGAGACCCCCAGTGGGAAAAGTGCAATATTACAGTTTACCCATCAACTTGGAACAGGATTCAAGCACCATAATTACCATCTTGTCCACATAAGGACATAACAGTTATTTTAGCCTTTCTTAACGGTTTGGCTAAAATTGAGGTGAGCGCATAAATAAGCTAGATATATCCTGATTACAATCATGGAGTGGACTACATTTGGAATTGTTTGATTGATTGATTTGGACATTATATTGTGAATTTAATATTTATTGCATTGATTTTTAATTTTTTATTTAGACATGATTATATCTTATAAATTTTGAGTATATTTATATTAATTTAATTGTGCACATATTGTACATTAATATATTTTAAAGTTTGGCACAGGTATTTATTTTTTTAATGGTGTTATAAATACACATATTTTCATTAAATTAATATTTTTTTCATAGTGGAGCGCGACATGTTTAAAAAAATATATTAATCACTTTCGCAGTGTTATATGGGTATGTGTAAAAAGTGTCAGTGAACCACAACAATAGGAATTATTTTATTTGTATTTTTATTTATTTAATACCACATAGTAGCTCACAAGTACATATACTTAATATGCATTTGACATTAACTCTTGAGCTTCTGTACCTCTGTGCAGGATTGGGACTTCTGCAATGCAGTTCCACTCTGGTTGCTAAGGGAAATGGAATGCGGTGTACGGAATGCCAACATCTCCCTCGTGGCTAGAGGCTGTCCCACCTATAACAGGTACATATTTCTGACAGGCTGCTTGTTGAATGCACATCCTTTGCTCATGGCAAGCACATTTATAACTTGCACTAGGATGACACTTAATGTGTACACTCTTCATACCCAATATGTTAGTAAACCAAAAATGTAGCAATGTGCTGGTTACTTGCATTACACTCCTTTAAATTACTTCAGACCAGGCAGAAGGCAAGGTGTGAACGCTTTACTGAACAAAATGCAAAACGGTACAAAGTCCAGCAAAAAAAAAAAGTCCTTTTCCCTAAGTCCCTAATCCTAATCAGGCTATGTGCTGCCCTGGCGTACCTGCAAAGGTACAGTCTGTGTCTATAGGGGTCCATGATTGGCAGGCTTCAGTGGATGGTATCATTGGGGGAGAACCCCAGGTGTGTAGCTCTCACATCGTCAAGGCCGATGGACTTATGGAAGGACCCCTTGATTCTTACAGCAGCATTGTGGCTTACAGTAACAAGAATTCTCCAGGAGCTCTCGGGCTCCGAACCACTGTCCCTTCTTATATACACAGGAGCAGTGGGTCAGACCCAAATATCCCACCAAACAAAAAACCCTAGCCTTCCCGTCCGGGGCAGCAACTACCTAGCTAATTCTAACCTGCTTACATGCACAAGCGTGCGCCCACTTGCTAGTCAGCAAGTGGCTAAAGACCCTGCAAAGTTAGCAACAATCTGACATTACCAGGTAAGTATCCAGGCATGGTGATAAGGATGAGGCTCTCACAAACACTGGGTGTCTCTCTATTTAAGGGGCATGGCCTAATGCAACTGTAGAAAAGGGTCTGCAGTGTACTTAGTACTTAAGTACAGATGCCCTGAGACTGTGGCACATCATGGATGGTCAGCAGCCGCAGTACCCACAGGCTTTGGCATTATTGACTGGCAGAGGATGGTATATCTGTGTACAGCGCTGCATCATCTACAGGTTTAAAGATTATCATGGACACACTGTTATAGCACAATGGCGACTATTTTAGTTTGTGGACTATGTGTGGGATGGCGCCATCCATCAGCTCACTGTAACATTCAAGTCTACTTATGATGCATGGCTGAAAAGAATGTAATAGTTCTTAATGATTTGTGTCACCAAATATGCCAGTCTGTACATAGACCCTGTGAAGTTGGAGCAGCATGCTGTATGTAGGTATATGATGAATTCCGGTCTTATGTTTATTGTCCAAGGCAGTGGTTCTCAACCTTAGGGAGACCAGGGCTCAGTAAATTCTCTCTTCAAAACCTTCCTTGCCCCAACATGGCCATGATCAGCAGGTAGATTGTGATCAGCCAGTTGCTGACCCCCATTCTAAATGTTCCCTATTCTAGCCATAGGGAAGATAAGCAAAAAAAATGTTTGGGCTACGATTAGGCTTTAAATCCATAACATAATCCTGAGAAGCTATAGGGTTGGTCCATTAAAACTAAAGAGAAGAAAAATACCACACAATTGCAGTTGTATCCCACAGCAACTTGTTTAATGTTTAATCTGATTGGTTATAACTCCAGTTTTCTGTATAAAGTGGGTGTAGAAAAGAATCACCCCCCTTTAAAATAATCACATTTTGTTGCTTTGCAGCCTGAAATGAAGATAGACAGTTTTTGTTTTACCTAGCTGTATTTACTGAGTGCAACTTACAACATCCAAGAGAAAGATATAGCACCAACATGTCAGAAAAAAATAATAAAAAATTCAAAACCACATTCATTGAGTTCAAAAAAGGATCACCCCCTTGTGTCAGTATTTTGTTGAACCACCTACTGCTTTAATTACAGCCTTTAGTCTGTTGGGATATGTCTCTACTAACTTTGCACATCTAGACTTTGCAATATTTGCCCGCTCTTCTTTACAGAGCTGCTGAAGTTCAGTTAAATATGATGGTGCCCATTTGTGGACTGCAGTCTTCAAGTCATTCCACAGATTTTCAATGGGGTTTAACGCTAGGCTCTGGCTAGGCCATTCACCTTTTCCCCCTACAACCACTGTGTGCTTTGGGTCATTGTCATGTTGGAAGGTAAACCTTCTTCTTCCCATTGACAACTTTCTGGCAGAGGGCAGCAGATTTTCCTCAACAATTTGATGGTATTTTGCCCCATCCATTTTTCCTTCTATCCAGACAAGTGCTCCAGTCCCTGCTGCAGAGAAGCCCCCCTCATAACAGGATATCACTACCTCTATTCAGGGCTAGAGCTAGACTATTTTGCTCCCTAGGCAAGACCAGCTATTTGCACCCCCCCCCTCCCCCCCAAAAAAAAAAATTATATTAAGAAAAAAAATAGTAGAAAAAATTAAATCAACAAAACATGAAATTAGTAAATTTTAATCTGCAAAAATAAGTGTCATAAAATGCCACCAACACCACCAATATTAAAGACAAAATCAATGTCATGGACGGACTGTATCTGTAGCTGGCAGTGGCAGGGTGACAGTTGCAGTGAGTGGAGGATGATGGATTAATACTCTGACAGATCCCAGGCTGGAATTCCTCAGGCAAAGGGGGGAGATAAAATGTTGTGACAGCAGGCAGCCCAGCCTACACACACACAGAGAACACCTGAACTGAGCGATCCCACACAGTGATGGATCCGACACAACACACCACCACTAACACTGACACAGATCAACAGGCCCAGCAGGTACTAGAAGAGCAGGCTGTGGGATCGTGATGATGTCATCACTCATTGACACATTGCACATATGATGGAGTCAGACATTACCTTCCTCCGCAGGTGCAGCTCCACCTCAGCTGATGAATGGGAAGAGAAGGGCTGGAACTCCACAGTGATCAGCAGTCACCAGCCAGCTTGTAATAAGGGACTGTGTCTGAGAGGAACACTGGAAGGAGCTGCAGCTCAGCTGCTACACTTGCCCCAGACACCCGGCATCTTCCTCTGTTCTTTCTTTCTCCCCTCTGCTGCCCCTCCTCGCAGCAGAAAGATTATTCATGATGTGGCAGCATCCCACACAGAGAGAGTGCTGGTCTGTGCTGTGCCCAGGCACCCCTAAGTGGCAGTGCACCCTAGGCGACTGCCTAGTGCAAGCACCAGCCCTGCTGTAGGAATTGTGTTACTTGGATGGAGAGCTGTATTGGATTTCCGCGAGACATATTGTTTAGGGTTGAGACCAAATAATTCAATTTTAGCCTCATGTGACCATAACACCTTTTTCCTTGTGGCCTCAGAATCTACAAAGTGCGTTTTGGCAAATCTCAATCAAGATTATATGTGGCTTTCTTGAGGAGTGTTTTTTTTCTTGCAACCCTCCCATACAAGCGACATTTGTGGAGTATTTTAATATTGTTGTCACTTGCACACAATGACTACTCTTTGTCATAAATTCCTGCAACTGCTTCAGAGTTGCTTAGGCCTCTTGGTAGCCTCTCTGACCAGTTTCCTCCTGGCTCTCATCCAGTTTGGAGCGACGTTTTGATCCAGGGAGGGTCTGTGTTGTACCAAATACCTTACACTTCTTAATATAGACTTCACTATGCTTCAAGACATTGATAAAGCCTTTTACATTTTTTTGTATCCATCTCCTGACTTGTACCTGCCCACAACTTTATCCCGGAGATCTTTTGACAGTGCCTTGCCATCCATAGTTGATTGTTTGCTTCAGTTGCACTATCAGGGACTAAAATGCTTCAGGAAAGCTCTTTTCATGCTGAGCTAATCAAAATTACCACATCTGATCACAGTTGAAAGTCAAATGGCTTTGTGTGCCATTGAGAAGGGGATTAGCTACGTCTATACCTGATCGAGTTTACAAAAAAAAAAAGTTTCTTTGTTTCTATTATAAAATTTTTCAAACAGGTAATTTTTCTCCTTCGCTGATGTGCGTTGATGAGGCTGCACTGATGGGCACTAATAGGCGGCACTGATGGGCACTGATAGGCAGCACTGATGGGCACTGATAGGCGGCACTGATAGGTAGCACTAATGAGGTGGCACGAATAGGCGGCAGTGATAGGCAGCACTAATGAGGTGTCACGGATAGGCGGCACTGATAGGTGGCACTGATAGACAGCACTGATAGGTGGCACTGACTGGCATCACTGCTGGGTACTGACTGGCGGCACTGCTGGGCATTGACTGGCAGCACTGCTGGGCACTGCAGCACTGCTGGGCTGCACTGGTGGGCTGCACTGGTGGGCACCAGTGGGTGGCACTGCTGGGCACAGGTAGGTGGCACTGCTGGGTGGCACAGGTGGGTGCACTGCTGGGCACAGGAGGGTGCACTGCTGGGCACAGGTGGGTGCACTGCTGGGCACAGGTGGGCGGAAGTGGTGGGTGGCACTGCTGTGCCGATCCCCGCTCTGACAAATGCCGGTTCTCGGCAGTACTTTCCTCATGCTCTGACAGCGTGAGGAAAGTGCAGCCGAAAACCGGCAATTGCATTTCCCTGTGATCAGTGTGTCATTGGACATGACTGATCATGTGGTAAAAGGCCGCTGTGATTGGCCTTTGACCACATCACGTGATGAGCTGTGTCCGTAGGACACAGCGATCATGGAGATCGCCGGGGGCGCAGGAGAGCGCGTTCTGGGAGGACGTCATATGACGCCCTCCCAGAACTGGCCGGTCGCAGTGTAGCCGTCATTCGGCTATCTGCGGTTGGCAAGTAGTTAAGGCTTGTATCAATCATATCACCATAAATATATTAAGGCTTGTGTCAATCTTATCACCATAAGTCCTCATGCACACTGGACGTTTTTACAGCTGCTGTTTTTGGATTTTGATGTTTTTTTTCTACAGCCAGTAATCCCCCCAGCATGTTTTCCTATGTGTCCATACACACACTGACTGTAAGCAATGTTTTTTGGCTGGAAAAAAAACAGGACTAGTGGGTTTCTAGAGGAGTGTTTTAGCTATAAAAATGCTCTAACACTGAAAAACGCTGTAAAAACGCAGTAAACAGTAGCATTTTTTGGACATTTTTGTGATCCAAAAAAATATTTTTGGGGGTAAAAAAGATGCTTTAAAAATGCAAACGTGGGAAAACACCGCTAATCGTGGCAAAACGCCACTAAATGCTAATGTAAACAGGCTAAAAAAAGCTGAAAAAGTCATGTTTTTAACATAAGTTTCCACAGCTAACGTTACCAGCGTTATCAATACATCAAGTGTGCATTGAGGGTGTATTATATTACGGCTTATGTCAATCTTATTGATTTCACATCAGTTTCTTCTGAGATCATTCAGAATTCATTGACAGGTGGCTTGTATGAGAATGCAAACCCTGCTTGAAGTAAACAGAAGCCACCCAACACAGCCCCCAGCTAATCAAAATATATATAAAAATACACTCACAATGGGGTTGATTTACTAAAACTGGAGAATGCAAATTCTGGTGCAGCTCTGCATCGAAACCAATCGGCTTCCAGGTTTTATTGTCAAAGCTTAATTGAACAAGCTGAAATTAGAAGCTGATTGGCTACCATGCATGGCTGTAGCAGATTCTTTTTTTTTAAATAATAAACATGTTATACTTACCTGCTCTGCACAATGGTTTTGCACAGAGCAGCCCCCATCCTCCTCTTCTGGGGTCTCCTGCCAGTTGCTTGATACACACTCATGCTGGCTCACTCCCAAGTTGGGTTATGCATGTCCATTGACACACACAGAATGGCTCACCCCTCACAGGCTTTGATTGACAGTAGTGGGAGCCAATGGCTCCTGCTGCTATTAAACTGCCCTGCAGGGAGGGAGAGAGCTGAGAAAGCACAGCGCTGGACACTGACCTGGGGGGGTGACTGTGCTGTGGGACACTGATCTGGGAGGTGATTACATTACACACTCCTGCACTATATTCACTATATTGTACACTACACACAGCTTGGGGGATGGTAATAGTGCTGGGGGACCCTGAACTGGGGGGGAGAGAGAATGGTGATTGTGCTAGGGAAACCTAAACTGGTTAGGGGGGATAGGTATTGTGCTGGGGGACCCTAAACTGGGGGGATGGGGATTGTGCTGGGGGACCCTAAACTAGGGGTGGGATGGTAATTGTGCTGAGGGACCCTAAACTTTGGGAGAGGGGATTGTGCTGGGGATCCTGAAGTGGGAAACTAGGAGGGGGAGGTGGTAATTGTGCTGGGGAACCTCAAACTGGGGGGGTGATTGTGCTGGGGAACCCTAAACTGGGGGGATGATTATTGTGCGGTGGGACCATAAACTGTGGTGGTGACTGCACTGGGGGACCCTAAACTGGGGTGGTGGTAACTGTTCTGGGACAGCCTAAACTAGGGGGGGATGGTGATTGTCCTGGGGGACCCTAGACTGGGGGGGTGGTGATTGTACTCAGGACACTGAACTTGGTGGGATAGTGATTGTATTTGGGGAAACTGAACTGGGGGGATGGTGGTTGTGCTGGGGGAACCCAAAACTGGGAAACGGGAGGGCTGTGATTGTGCTGGGGCACCCTAAACTTGGAAGGATGGTGATTGAGCTTATGGGACCCTACACTGGGGGGAGGGTGGTGATTGTGCAGGCAAACCGTGAGCTGGTGGGGGGGTGAATGTGCTGGGGGACCTTAAACTGGTGAGGATGGTGATTATGTTGGGGGACCTTAACCTGGGGGGAAGATAGTGATTGTACTGGGAGACCCTAAACTGGGGGGGTGGTAATAATGCTGGGGGTTCTGAACTGGGGGACGGTGATTTTGCTGGGAGACCCTAAAAATGGGAAGGATGGTGATTGTGCTGGGGGACCTTAAACTGGGAAGGGATGTTGATTGTGCTGAGGGAGCCTGAACTGTGGGTGTTAGCGATGTTCCTATAGTGTGCATTAAACACTGTATACAATATTAGGAAGTACATTACACCCTCCTGCACTGTATGTGCTATATTGTACATTATACACTCCTCCTGCACTATATACACTATATTGTACATTATACACTCCTCCTGCACTATATACACTATATTGTACATTATACACTCCTCCTGCACTATATACACTATATTGTACATTATACACTCCTCCTGCACTATATACACTATATTGTACATTATACACTCTTCCTGCCCTATATACACTATATTGTACATTATACACTCCTCCTGCACTATATACACTATATTGTACATTATACACTCCTCCTGCACTATATACACTATATTGTACATTATACACTCTTCCTGCCCTATATACACTATATTGTACATTATACACTCTTCCTGCCCTATATACACTATATTGTACATTATACACTCCTCCTGCACTATATACACTATATTGTACATTATACACTCCTCCTGCACTATATACACTATATTGTACATTATACACTCCTCCTGCCCTATATACACTATATTGTACATTATACAATCCTCCTGCACTATATACACTATATTGTACATTATACACTCTTCCTGCCCTATATTGTACATTATACACTCCTCCTGCACTATATACACTATATTGTACATTATACACTCCTCCTGCCCTATATACACTATATTGTACATTATACACTCCTCCTGCACTATATACACTATATTGTACATTATACACTCCTCCTGATCTATATACACTATATTGTACATTATACACACCTCCTTCCTGCCCTATATTGTACATTATACACTCCTCCTGCCCTATATACACTATATTGTACATTATACACTCCTCCTGCACTATATACACTATATTGTACATTATACACTCCTCCTGATCTATATACACTATATTGTACATTATACACTCCTCCTGCACTATATACACTATATTGTACATTATACACTCCTCCTGCACTATATACACTATATTGTACATTATACACTCCTCCTGCACTATATACACTATATTGTACATTATACACTCCTCCTGCACTATATACACTATATTGTACATTATACACTCCTCCTGAACTATATACACTATATTGTACATTATACACTCCTCCTGCACTATATACACTATATTGTACATTATACACTCCTCCTGCACTATATACACTATATTGTACATTATACACTCCTCCTGCACTATATACACTATATTGTACATTATACACTCCTCCTGCACTATATACACTATATTGTACATTATACACTCCTCCTGCACTATATACACTATATTGTACATTATACACTCCTCCTGAACTATATACACTATATTGTACATTATACACTCCTCCTGAACTATATACACTATGTTGTACATTGCATACTTCTGGCCAATGTTTTTATTGTCTCAACAGTTGCTGGTAGTTAACCAGACCCTGTCTATTTTATTGAAGTACTTATTTAAGCTAGGCTCAGACAAAGTGTTAGCTGCCTATTTTCAATGTGAACAAATCATATGTAATGGAATGAATGGAAAATGATTATGCTGAGGTTTATGCATGTCTCTGAGACTCTTACTTGTGGCACAGCAATTTTATGTGAACAAAAAGGCTTTTGCTTCATTCAACATGCCCTTTAACCCCTAACGCCGACAGTATGCATATATGCTGCCTTACAAAATGCCTTTTTCAGTGGGGCCACATATATGCATACTTGTGTTTGTGCTGGGAATGTGCTGCACAGCATACTCCCAGCACAGATACTAACGATCGGAACCCAGGACTCCTGATATACAGCAAACCAGAAATAGTGTATTACAGGACAAGTCCACCACATGTGGAGAAAAGTATTAACCTGTCCACAACTGCGAAAGCATTGAGTGGAACACCCTAGGTTATCGTCAGGAAAGCCATGCTCAAAAGGAATGTTCATGCTCAAATGAATACCTGTGCTCAAAGAAATGAGCAAGCACACATAACAGTCCATAGAATTGTGCACAGCCTTAGGACTATGCGCCTTCTATACGGACACGTGCGTATTAGTATTGTGCATGTGCTCATATATGTGTGTGCGCTTGTTTAATGGACTTTTGCACCTAGTGGCTTATTTAAAGCCTTACAGGGCTCAGGTTCATTGCTGAGTGGTCATCAGCTCCTTCTGCTTATGACCTGACCCTGTACTCATCTGTTCCCTGACCCGGTTTGCTCATCCTGTTTGTTCCTGAACTTCTCTTGCTGATTCTGGCTTGTGACCTGACGTTGCTTCCTACCTGCTGTCCTGGTACATCTTTTGCCTACATATGCTGACCTTGGCCTGGATCTGACTCTGCTTCTGGTTCCTGACTTTGCATTCCTGCTGCTCAGTTGTTTCCGACCTCTGCCTGTCTGACTACGCTCCCAAATCCAGTATGTTCCTACTATCCATTGACTTGCTCCATCTCTGCATCTGCTTCCAAGATATTCAGAACCAGATCTCCTACAGGCACCCATGCAACTCTATGCCCTGTTATACCCTGTCATCATCTCCAGGGGAAACAGGACAAGAGGTATAAGGGCAGCCCCCTCCTCAGCTCGGCCTCGACCAGGTACATGACAGTTATAATTAGCAACTCCAAAGGGGACAAGGTACCATCAAGTTAGAACTTTGTAGTTTGTTTTAATTGACAGAACATGGTGGAGTAAGATTTACATGTCTCCCAAATTTGGACATCCAACTCTGTGCCTAGGTCTGATGACCATTCATGAGTGTAGGTGGAAGTTTTTGGGAGGAGGGAGCTATAAAATAATAGAGAAAGAAAATTAGACAAAGGGCATGGGGGGTCTAAATCGCACAGCACGGCAAGGCATTGGTTTAGAGAAAATGCTTTATCTGTAAATATTGAAAAAGATCATTTTGCAGCAACTCTTTTTCTTGTTGCAGTGGTGCAAAGGCTTCACCCCTTTTTTAGTTACAAGATGTCTTACCTGAGTGAGGTTTTTTAGTGACTCATTCTCGGAATGTCAATGGAGTGGAGAGACCCAGAGGAAACACAGAATTCTGAATAAGATCTATAAGAGGTTTGTGTGTGTGGAGAGATATGGTTAGTTGAGTACTTAAAGTGATACTAAACACACACTGTTTCATTTAATTGTATTTCTGTATGTGGATGATGACACTCTCATTATTTTGATTAAAAAAAAAACACAATACCTTCTTTCCTAATCAATATACAGCTGTCACATGACCCAGCTCTTTCCCAGTCTGTCTGCAGGGAGACATACGCAGGAGAAGCTTCTAGTCCTCTGCCTCTTGTCACATGTTAAAAAAAATGGTTTTGGAATACTGAGTGAGGACTCTGAGGAAGAGGCAAGTCCTCGAAAAGCGTTAGCCTTTTGGAAGTCCACAGTCCACATTGCTGACAGACACATAGTGCGGATTGGACAGAGTTGTTCTTTCATGATGTGCCTTTGACTGTATTGTCGTTTTGTGAGTACAATACCTACCGTTATCATTTATTAACCCCCTAGCGGTCTGATTATGTCACTATTTCTGTGCTCAAAGCGCTACATTTTTTTGCATGGAAATATGTATTTTTTTTTTATCGTAGTCCTGTAATTTTTAGCAATAACTCACTGAAATCTGTTGGAACAAGAGTCTAGTAAACATCCCGGGTAGGATAAAATTTGAAACACAAAATCATAAATTATAATTTAATAAATAATCATAAAAAATAATAATATAATAATAAATTTAATTCAATAATATAATCAAACCAAAAACACTGAAATTTGAAATGTAGCAGCAAGTTCGCACATCGCTGAGCAAACTCGCAAAATCGTTTTCAGTGTCGGATGACGAATTTCCCCACAAATCATTATCACTCAATTCTGCAAGTGGTTTCTGATTTACTATCGCTGTTCTCTAGCTGGTCTAAAGCCGCTTTTGACATAAAGGGACGTTTTTTGGATGCCATGGACGTTTCTCAGTTTCCAGGCAGAAAGAACAGTCAAAATGCAGGCAGGGCACAGGACAAAGCACTCGGGACAAAATGTATGTGAAATGGTTTGATACAGTAATGTTTTACTATGTGATTTTAGTGTATTTAGTGAATGTCACTTTTTATCATTTTCAAATTTCCCGCCGTTCCATCCCCGTACGTCCCGACGCTCGCATGGGATGGAACCCAGATGACAGATGCCGGCATCTTTCCGGAGGACATTGCCGGGGACACTGCAGGAGGGACATCGCGGGAGCGCAGGACAAGGTAAGTGATCGAGGGATCGCGGAGCAGCGCCGCATGGTGTAGCTCGACTGTAGCTCGGGGTTACTGCTTGTGGTACTGAAACTTTACCCCGAGCTACACTCGGGAATACCGCCAGGGAGGTTAAAATACATTTTTTAAGGTAATGCACTAGGTCGGAGTGCCCTCTGTTTGTTTTTTTCTCCATTCAGTACATTTGGACTTCCCTGTGCTTCTTTGGTCTTTTGAGGGCAGCAAGGCGTGCACATTCCAGGTCATTTGTGATGTGGTCCTAATCTATACTGAGTCCATCCCTAAGTGCCGGAGTATTTGGGTTTGCTGTTTCTTTACTGTAAAAAAATGCCTTTGGAATTCTGAGTAAAATAATTATCTGTTTGTTTTTTGTTCAATAAGTTTTGCATATCTATTTCCCAGCTGAAGAGATAGTTAGGATAAGACTGGTCCTGTAATGAAAGAAGGGCTTTGTAGAACTGTGAGACACAATGCAACAGAGGATCTCTTGGTCTGAGGATGGCCTCAATTGGAGTTAAGTCCAGTATGGATTGTAGTGATTGAGGCAGAGATCATAGGAAGTGGGATAGCTGGGTGTACCTCCAGCGGTCCATGAAAGTAGGGCATGATGAGCCACATAAAGTCTGCAGGGGTTCTATGGTGGTGTTCTGAAAAACATGGTGTAACAGTGGTATGGGATCAGAAAACCACTGTCTAAAGCCCCTGTCTATAGAACCTGGAAGGAAGTAATTGTGGCATGAGTGGGTAGTTGTGCACTCATTTATGGTGGTTATGGAGTGCATCCCAAATTGATAAGGTTAATATTGTGAGTGAAGAGTCCGTGGGCGTCAGATATCTGAAAGGACATGGGAGCCATGGTATGATAGATAAATCTGTGGAGGCTAGGGAAGATTCCAGACAAACCCAGATCTTGGACCGCCCAGCATATCCCCAGTCAGCAATACAAGACAAAGCTATAGCTGATAAAGGAGATTAGGGATAAAGTCCTAAGAAAGTTGTCTCTAGCTTCTCGGCCTGGAATAAAGTCGCACTGATCTGGAGGAAGCAGCCTATTAGTCATAACCTTAGCATAGAGCTTAATGTCAGTGTTAAGCAAAGATATAGGGCGATAACTTCCACAGCATGTGGGGTCTTTCCCAGGTTTTGGGATGACTGTTATATGTGCAGTAAAGATTCAGGGAGAAAAAACTCCTCTCCCACTATGCAAATTAGGATACGGAAGTGTGGCAGGCGCAGCACCCTTTGGTGCCTAGTGCGCTGTGGCATTAGAAAAATTATGCAATTGCTGTTTCTTTATTTGATTAGACTGACTTTACTCTGTAATTCCTCCAATGCCGCTCTATGGATGCAGTAGGTTTAAAGAGCATACCGAATACTTTAGTTAACTTCTTTAATAACTTCAATCTTCTTCATATAACACTGCTTACAATGGCTTATTTCTTTCATATTACAATGGTTTCATTCGTATTACATTGGGTTGATTCGATAGCTTATCTCGATAGGTTCAATAGATTCGGTAAATTGTATCGATTATGATTACTCTACAGTGACTTGATTCCTAAGTTCGTAAGTACGGTGGAACTACAAGTAAACACATACAACAGTTTTTACACACAGATCTACCTGCACTGTTAAACAGTAGAGGAACACACAAGTGCATTAAATACCTATTTGGCCTTCTCTACTTCCATGGAGCTTCTCTGATTGGAACTTTGTCCGTTTCCTCCTCTGTCTGGTGAGCATGTGTCTCTAGAAAATCCTAGCAGGGAGTTTTACACAGGCATAAATGTGAAACTGGCTGGGATTGGTTAAGGCTCTGTACAGTGTGAGGCTGTCTGTGATTGGCTCACCTTATACTAACTCTTAAAGGCATATTTTCCTTTTCTGCTTCTGCTAACACAATTAATATAAAAATGTCATATAACAATCAAAGACATAAATCACAGCAATGATTCTACTTTTGGCTTTAACATATGCACATATATACTGTACTGAGGTTATTGGCAGGTTTGGTATACACATATATGTGAACCATATTAACAACCTAGGACTGGTTTCAGCTGGCCAGCTACAGGAAGGGACCAAAATATCTCAGATTTTTTTGTAATAAAGAGTGGTAAAACCATCTGGCCCGGGTGCTTTACCAGAAGGGTGGATTTCAATGCTGCATAGAATTCCTCCTCAGTAAAGTCAGCTTCCACCTTTTTGAGAGATTTGTATGAAAGCTTAGGATGGTGAGCTTGTTTGAGATAATCAACTATCTTTTTTTCTCTTTTCATGTGGCGGGATGTGAGCTAAATCAGCCTGGACATTGCAGAGGTTGGAGTAGAATTCCTGGAAGGCTTGTGCAATATGAGGGGTAGTATGAACTAAGTTACCATTAGAGGTTTTAATTTTAGATACAAAAGAGGCTGTTTTTCTTTTCCTGTACAGAGCATGCTAACATTCTACCAGGTTTAACGCCCCATTCATGCACTGTCTGAGAGACCAGCTGAAAATGTTGTTTAAGGTCTACATCCATTAGGGACTTAAGTTCCTCTCTTTTCTGTGTCAGAGTCAATAAGGTGGATTTATAAAGGGTTAATTTGTGTGATTTTTCTTGGTCAGCAGCTTGTCGTTGCAGGTCTGTAAGTTTTTGGTGACTCTCTCTCTTCTTTCTTGACCCCAATTCAATCAATTTACCTCTCATGGTAGCTTTGTAGGCCTCCCAAACAACTGACAGAGACAAATCCAATGAGGCATTTGCAACAAAATATTGGGTCAAGTCATTAGATAAAGAGGCAAAATCAATTGGGTCGGACAGAAGAAAGTTGTTTGCTTTCAATTGGGTTGGCGAGTGAATAAAGAAGGGAATTCTATGTGTACCGAAACTGGGGCCTAATCTAAAAAATAAATTACCCCTATCAAGGCAGAGTGTATGTATGGCAGATAAAAGCGATCTAAAAAGATAGCGTCTATTCTAGAGCAAGAATCATGATAGGGATGATCTTGTACTTTAGGATGAAAAATCCTCCAAACATCGACCAGTTGGGCTGTATGTAAACATCTTTTAAGGTAGGATAAGCGTTAAGGGATGGTAGAGTGGCTGTATGAGGTATCTAAGAGGAACCAAAGGCATATTAATATTAGCAGCCAATATAATTACTTTTGAGGCAAATTCTTTCAATTTAGTCAAGATTTGAGAAAGGTAAGTTGGTTGGTTATGATTAGGACAGTATACATTCGCCAAGGTGCATCGCGTGTTACCTAACATACCTTGGACAAAGAGGAATCTCCCGTGATCGTCTGTCAGCATTTTTTCAACTGTAAAGGAGATACTCCTGTGAAAACATATGGCCATCCCTTTGGCTTTGTTGGTATCAGAAAGGCTATAAAACCAAGAAGGATAATAGTGGGAATTAGGTCTGGTGGAGGTTGTGTGCGTTAGATGAGTTTCCTGTAGGAATGCTGTAGAACATTGAGAACGTTTCAGTTTTTTAAGCACTAGCCTACAGGGCACTTACACCCCCTTCCTGCGAGTTTTCAGCGCCGTCACACTTTGAATGACAATTGCGCGGTCATGCAACACTGTACCCATATGAAATTTTTATCATTATTTTGAGACAGATAGAGCTTTCTTTTGGTGGTATTTAATCACCTCTGGGTTTTTTATTTTTTGCTAAACAAACCAAAAACAACAGAAAATTTTGAAAAAAAAAACACGTTTTTTTTCTTAGTTTTTGTTATAAAATTTAGTAAATAAGTGATTTTTCTCCTTCACTGATGTGTGCTAATGAGGCTGCAGTGATGGGCACTGATAGGTGGCACTGATGGGCATTGACAGGCATCACTGATGGGCACTGAAAGGCAGCACTCATATAAGGCACTGATAGGCGACACTGGCTGGCACTGTTAGGTGGCACTGATTGGCACTGATAGGCGGCACTGACAGGTGACACTGAAAGGCAGCTCTGATGGGCACTGATATGTGGCATTGATGTGCACTGGTAGGCACTGATATGTGGCATTGATGTGGCACTGACAGGTGCCATTGATGGGCACTGACAGGTGGCACTGCTGGGGCCACTCTGATCATCAGGCCACACTGATCATCAGTGCCCTGATGATCAGTGCCCATGTCCCCTCCGAGGAATGCTGATTACCGGCTCTCCTCTCCTCTTGAGCTTTCAGCGTGACAGCTCATGAGGAGAGAAATGCCGATAACCGGCATTTCCCTATTTACATGTGATCAGCTGTGATTGGACACAGCTGATCACATGACCGAGCCAACATCTTAGGCTCTTTCCCTTGATTGGACACAGAGCACCACCGATCGCCGCGCTGCGTGCTCCCAGAGCCACGCGTGCGTGGTTAGAGTGGGAGGACGTCATATGAAGTCACACAATTTTAAAGACGCATGTCAGTGCAACTTCAGGTGCAACTTGGCTGACATTTGTGCAAATTCATGCACAGATGTCTATGCAAGTCGCACATGAAATCTCAAAAAATAGTGCAGGAACCTTTTTTTTCAAATTGGTGCAGCACCGCAAAGTCGAAGTCGCACCAATTTAAACTGTTCCTTTGCAGGAAAATAGGGTGAAAATCACGTGATGTAATTTGTCTATGGACACAGAGCCAGCTTGGGAGTGAGCATGCATGAGTGCCCCCCATAGCAAGCAGCTTGCTATAGTGGGCACTCGGTGGAGGGTTGGAGTCAGAAGCACCAGTGGGGGACCCAGGAAGAGGAGGATCGAGTCTGCTCTGTGCAAAAACCATTGCACAGAGCAGGTAAGTTTAACATATTTGTTTTTGCAAAAAATAAATTATATATATATATATATATATATATATATACACCGTGTTCCAAATTATTATGCAAATTATATTTTTCTCATTTACCTAGATAATTGATGTAAGTAACAGTCAGCATAATTCTCGTGTTATCAACTATTAAGAGTACAATTCACATTTTATTGAACAAATCTCCTAATGATAACAGGATTTTTTTTAAACATAAAAAACTTACAATGCACTGTTCCAAATTATTATGCACAGTACGTTTCAAAACACTTTATAGGTTGTAAAGAACTGAAAATTGTCATTTGTTGTGTTTGCAGCGTATTTACTGAAATCAAAAGCTATTTCAATCAAACTTTTAACAACATTTTAACTTTTTAAACATTTTAACAGGTGACGTTACATTGTAACATAGGACCCCTTATTTGATAGCAGCTTCACAAGTCTTGCATCCATGAACTTGTGAGTTTTTGGACAGTTTCTGCTTGAATTTGTTTGCAAGATGTCAGAATAGCCTCCCAGAGCTGCTGTTTGGATGTAAACTGTCTCTCACGCTCATAGATCTTTTGCTTGAGGATGCTCCAAAGGTTCTCAATAGGATTGAGGTCAGGGGAGAATGGAGGCCACACCATAACTTTCTCTCCTTTTATCCCCATAACAGCCATTGATGGAGAGGTATTCTTTGCAGCATGAGATGGTGCATTGTCATGCATGAAGATGATTTTGTTCCGGAAAGCATAGTTCTTCCTTCTGTACCAGGGAAGAAAGTGGTCAGTCATAAACTCCACATGCTTTGCAGAGGTCATCTTTACACCTTTGGGGACCCTAAAGGGGACGACCAGCTCTGTTCCCATGATTCCTGCCCAAAACATGACTCCACCACTGCCTTGCTGACGTCACAGCCTTGTTGGAACAGGGTGGCCGTCCACCAACCATCCACTACTCCATCCATCTGGACTGTCCAGGGTTGCACGGCACTCATCAGTGAACAGGACTGTTTTGAAACTTAGTCTTCATGTATTTTTCTGCCCAATGCAGCCATTTCTGCTTGTGAGCATTGGTTAGTGGTGGCCGAATAGAAGGTTTATGCACAGTTGCAAGACTCTGGAGGACTCTACACCTTGATGTCCATGGGACTCCAGAGGCACCAGCAGCTTCAAATATCTGTTTGCTGCTATGTAATGATATTTTAGCAGCTGCTCTCTTGATCTGATGCATGGATCTGGCAGAAATCTTCCTCAATGTGCCTTTATCTGCACGAACCCGTCTGTGCTCTGAATCAGCCACAAATCTCTTAAGAGTGCGATGATCACGCTTAAGTTTTCGTGAAATATCTAATGTTTTCATACCTTATCCAAGGCATTGAACTATTTCCCTCTTTTCGGCAGCAGAGAGATCCTTTTTCTTCCCCATATTGCTTGAAAATGGTGCTCTGCTTAATAATGTGGAACACTCTCCTTTAGTAGTGTTTCCATAAATTGGGCTCACCTGCCAATCTAATTATCACAGGTGTCCGAGATTGTTTTTAGTGATCAAAAGAGCCCAGACACACAATGCCATCCATGAGTTAAACTGAAAAACAAAATATTTAATCTTTGTGACACTTAAGTAGAATTTGAATAATAATTAGGAACAGGGTGTATATATATATATATATATATATATATATATATATATACATATATATACATATATATACACACACACACACACACACACACATTTATACATACATACACACACTGCTTAAAAGAATTAAATGAACACTTTGAAAAACACATCAGATCTCAATGGGGAAAAATATCATGCTGGATATTTATACTGATGATATGGACTGGGTAATGTGTTAAATACATAAGGATGCCCCATCGTTTGATGGGAAAGAAAATGATCAAACTACAGAGGACTGAATTCAAAGACACCCCAAAATCAAAGTGAACAAATGATGCAGCAGGCTAGTTCATTTTTCTGAAATTTTGTTGCAGCAACTCAAAATGGTACTCCGTAGCTTGTATGAATGCCTGACAACATAAGGGCATGCTCCTAATGAGACAACGGATGGTGTCTTGGGGTATTTCCTCTCAGATCAAGACCAGGGCATCACTGAGCTCCTGGACAGTCTGAGATGCAACCTGGCAGCGTCGGATGGACGAGCATAGGGGCCATTCAATGGTATCAATTTCTTCATCCACCAGGAACTGCCTGCATAGTCTTGCCACATGAGGCCGGAATCTAGGACCCACTGCACCAGCGTAGGGTCTGACAATGGGTCCAAGTATTTCATCCCGATACCTAATGGCAGTCAGAGTACCATTGTTTAGCCTGTAAAGATCTGTGCATCCCTCCATGAATATGCCTTCCCAGACCATCACTGACCCACCACCAAAACAGTCATGCTGAACAATGTTACAGGCAGCATAACGTTCGCCACGGCTTCTCCAGACCCTTTCACATCTGTCACATGTGCCCAGAATGAACCTGCTGTCATTTGTGAAAAGCACAGGGTGCCAGTGGCGGACCTGCCAATTCTGGTGTTCAATGGCAAATGCCAATCAAGTTCTATGGTGCCAGGCAGTGAGCACAGGGCCCACTAGAGGACTTCGGGCCCTCAGGCCACCCTCATGAAGTCTGTTTCTGATTGTTTGGTCAGAGACATGCACGCCAATGGCCTGCTGGAGGTCATTTTGTAGGGCTGTGGCAGTGCTCATCCTGTTCCTCCTTGCACAAAGAAGCAAATACCGGTCTTACTGATGGGTGAAGGACTTTCTACGGCCCTGTCCAGCTCTCCCAGAATAATTGCCCGACTCCTGGAATCTCCTCCATGCTCTTGCGACTGCGCTGGGAGACACTGCAAACCTTCTAGCAATGGCACGTATTGATGTGCAATCCTAGAGGTGTTTGATTGCCTGTGCAACCTCTGTAGGGTCCAGGTATCACCTCATACTACCAGTAGTGACACTGACCCCAGCCAAATGCAAAACTAGTGACAAACAGAAAAGATGAGTAGGGAAAAAACTGTCAGTGGTCTCCACCTGTAAAACCACTCCCGTTTTTTGAATCATCTCATTGTTGCCCATCTGGTGCACCTGTTGTTAATTTCATTAACATCAAAGTAGCTGAAACTGATTAACAACCCCCTCTGCTACTTAACTGACCAGATCAATATCCCAGGAGTTTAATTGACTTGATGCTATAGTCTGCTTAAAAAGTGTTCCTTTAATCTTTTTTGAGCAACACACACACACACACACACACACACACACACACACACACACACACACGCCCATAAATATTGGGACATCAACACAATTCTAACATTTTTGGCTCTATACACCACCACAATGGATTTGAAATGAAACAAATAAGATGTGCTTTAACTGCAGACTGTCAGCTTTAATTTGAGGGTATTTACATCCAAATCAGGTGAATGGTGTAGGAATTACAACAGTTTGCATATGTGCCTCCCACTTGTTAAGGGACCAAAAGTAATGGGACAATTGGCTTCTCAGCTGTTCCATGGCCAGGTGTGTGTTATTCCCTCATTATCCCAATTACAATGAGCATATAAAAGGTCCAGAGTTCATTTCAAGTGTGCTATTTGCATTTGGAATCTGTTGCTGTCAACTCTCAAGATGAGATCCAAAGAGCTGTCACTATCAGTGAAGCAAGCCATCATTAGGCTGAAAAAACAAAACAAACCCATCAGAGAGATAGCAAAAACATTAGGCGTGGCCAAAACAACTGTTTGGAACATTCTTAAAAAAAAGGAACGCACTGGTGAGCTCAGCCACACCAAAAGACCCGGAAGACCACGGAAAACAACTGTGGTGGATGACCGAAGAATTCTTTCCCTGGTGAAGAAAACACCCTTCACAATAGTTGGCCAGATCAAAAACACTCTCCAGGAGGTAGGTGTATGTGTGTCAAAGTCAACAATCAAGAGAAGACTTCACCAGAGTGAATACAGAGGGTTCACCACAAGATGTAAACCATTGGTGAGCCTCAAAAACAGGAAGGCCAGATTAGAGTTTGCCAAACGACATCTAAAAAAGCCTTCACAGTTCTGGAACAACATCCTATGGACAGATGAGACCAAGATCAACTTGTACCAGAGTGATGGGAAGAGAAGCGTATGGAGAAGGAAAGGAACTGCTCATGATCCTAAGCATACCACCTCATCAGTGAAGCATGGTGGTGGTAGTGTCATGGCGTGGGCATGTATGGCTACCAATGGAACTGGTTCTCTTGTATTTATCGATGAAGTGACTGCTGACAAAAGCAGCAGGATGAATTCTGAAGTGTTTCGGGCAATATTATCTGCTCATATTCAGCCAAATGCTTCAGAACTCATTGGACGCCGCTTCACAGTGCAGATGGACAATGACCCAAAGCAGACTGCAAAAGCAACCAAAGAGTTTTTTTTAAGGGAAAGAAGTGTAATGTTATGCAATGGCCAAGTCAATCACCTGACCTGAATCCAATTGAGCATGCATTTCACTTGCTGAAGACAAAACTGAAGGGAAAATGCCCCAAGAACAAGCAGGAACTGAAGACAGTTGCA